ATTTTAGAGGTGCTGTCCTTTTTTTTTCTTATGGGATCTTATTCTTCCCTGTTATACTCCTTTATATGTGAGATTCCACTGAAGTAGAACCCCTTCAGTGTATGGGAACTTCAAACTGTGAGGAAAATGCTATCTTTTGCCACAAACAAACCCCCAGATCTTAGTGACTTTCCACAGTAGATGTTAATTTCTCACTCACTGGAAGTCCTGTAAGATGTTTCTTATATGGACAACATTCATTGTGGTCTTTCAGGTACAGAGGCTCCTTATAATTTGTGACTCACTCCATCCTCTAGGGTCTGAGTCCTATATATTTAGCCTCCAAATGAAGAAAGAAAATGAAGAATTTTACACTGGGGTTTTTGTGGGCAGGCCTATAAGTAGTGCTCATCATTTGTGCTCACATCTCACATTTCATTATTCACACTGCCACACGTAACTGCAAGGCAGGCTGGGAAATGTGGTCCAGCTAAATGCCCAGGAAGAGGAGGTTATAGGTTTGGTGGACAGTTTGTAAGTTTCTGCCACATCTTACCTTTCCTTTGCTTCTTCTCTTCTCTTAAAGATTGATCTCATTTTCTTTTTTTAATTTAATAATTCATTCACTCATCAGATGATTATTGAATGCATACTATGTGCTAGGAATGTACTAGACATGTTCTAGGCACTTGGCATATATCGGTGAACAATGCAGACAAAAACCCCTGCTCTTGTAGAGCTTACATTCTAATAGATGGAAATCACTAATTTTTAAAAAATTAACTTAATAAGTAAGTAATTATAAAACATTTTAGAAGTTTAATAGAAAAAAGTACAGTGGGGGATGAGGGAGCAAGAGTCAATTTTTAAGTATAATGGCCAGAATAGGTTTCATTGAAAAAGTGACATTTGAGAAAGGATTTGAAAGAAGCGAGAGGATTATCCAAGCAAATAACTAGAAGAGTGTTCCAGGCAGAGAGAACAGCCTGTGCAAAGACTCTGAGGCAGCAGCATGCTAGGTGAGTTCGAGGAGCTGCCAGGAGGTCCATGTGACTGAAGTAGAGTAAGAAGGGAGAGAGTAGTAAAAGATAAAGCCGGAGAGGTAACTGCGGGGCAGGTTGGGTACGGCAGAGATTCCTCAACTTTCATGTTCCACATGTGCCCTTAGTGCAAATTTTCACAGATCCTCTAGGTAAAAAGAAATACCTAGTCATTCCGTTTATGAAGTAGTTAAGTCTAAACAGCTTAATGAGTGTTTATGTCCTAATAATTTAGTAACTGTCTGAAAAAATAATTCACATAGAAAGAAAAATTTTTTTTTATAATTAAATAACCATAATTACTTCCTAATAGTTTGCATGTACCTGTTGGGTATTGAACAGTTTCTCGTCTTGGAATCACCTTGGACACTGCCATGTGATTTCCTGTTCTTGTGGATTTTTGTATGGCATTTGCTTTTAATCACAGTAACCTCTCAAAACCCAGCTTTGTAAAGGTAAGATGTAATGGAAAGGAATGTGGAGTGATCTGATGTTGAAACTGTGAACTGTCCCAAACTAGAGGTTTGCATGTTGTCTCACAGAGGCTGCTGTATATCCCTTGAAAGTTTAAAATATCCTGCAACATCCCAGGCCCAGCCGTGAATTTGCTGCAGCGCCTCAGAGCATCATAGTGCACAGTTTGGTAATCATGATAACTGGTCCCAAGAGCACACCCCTATACCCAGTTAAAAACACTGATATTCACTAAACATAATTAAATAGTTCCTTATACTCAGTCACTGTCATGAATACCAGTTGTTATTATATGTTTTAAAATAGAGTGGTATCTTGTGCTCGTTCCAACGTAATTGACAGCTAGTATATGACCTGTACAAAGCGGGTCATAAATTTCCCACTTCCTGTATGCTATTCAATTCTTGCGATTATTTTAAATGGCCTTTCTGTCTCTTATTGTATCCCTTCTTGTCATTGTGTATGTTTCTACTCTTATGCTTTCTAATTTTACATATCCAGGGTACAGTGGATTTCAGAACAAGATAATCAAGCTGGCTAGAATTGTCTTTAAAATACTTTGTAGAAAGGAATTTGCAAAGTGCTTCTATGAGTAAAATTTATGAGCTTTGTGAGATCTTATTAGCTGCTTAGAGGCCTTTTAATACTTTTTCTTAAAGTAAGCTAAATAGTTTTGATAGGGTATTTGATTATTGATAATGATTATTATAATATATTATAATATTATAATTATTGTAAAAACCATACTTATTGAGAGAAGTGTTTTTTATTGGAGTATCTCTGAAACTACATATTTTTCAAAAGCTTTTTTATAGTGAAAGTGAATACTATCTCCCCGGAAAAATTACTAGTGCCATTGTTCTAAATATTTTTATCTAGTTGCCTATGCTTATTAATAAATTTATCTCATATTATACTTTTGTTTATTTTACCCAATTTGCTTTATCGTTTGCACTCTGTATGTTTCTTTTTCTCAACCTTTTGAGAGGAAGTTGCATACATTATGACTCTTTATTTTTAAACACTTTGACTATTTCTTGAAAATAAGGATATTCTCTTACATAACCACAGTACAGTTATAAACTTCAATAAATTTACATATATTTAGTCATTTAGTTAGTATGGCATACATATTCAATTTTGCCAGTTGACCCAAAATGTCCTTTATAGCATTTCTCTTTCCTTCTCCATACCAGATACAGTCTACTATAAGGTATAGCATTTATTTGTCATGTCTCTCTAGCCTTCTTTAAATTGGAGTATTTCCATAGACTTTGTATTTAATTACATTGACACTTTGAAGAATACAGTCCTTTTTATGTTTGTTTTTAGTAGAACATTTTTCATTTGGGGTTTTTCTGATTTTTTTTTTCCTAGTTAGATTCAGGTTGTGCATTCTTGGCCAGAATATTGCTCCTAGTTCTCTTATGCATGTGTAATTAAATATATTCTACCTTTCTTTTCTGTTCTAAGGAGAACACACAGCTTGAAAGTAGTTAAGGGAGTATGAAAAGTAAGGTTAAAGCACACTTTTGGAGAAGGTGTATCTTGTATTATGTAGTTAATTTTAATTTTAAATATTCCTAATGGCATCTATGTGACATGTCCATCTAGAAAAGAATATGCGAATATATTTTATTTATAAGTAAATTATCATAACACAGACATGTTGATAGTCTTAACAGTTACTATAAATAATAACATGACTCCATTAATATAAATAAAGATTATTTTCTCCATATGTCAGGAAAGAGATGTGCTCATTAGAAGAATTGTCGTGTAAAATCTCTCTAGACCTGAGATTCTTAGATTTTAAACTTCTTGTGAGGGTATGAGCTCCTTGAAGTCAGGGATCCAGTCTTACTTATTTATATTTTCCCAGTATTTATCACAGTACTTAAAGAATAGTAATAAAGATTATAGCTAATATTTATTATGCACTACTATGTACCAGGTAATATTTAAGCATTTTACATATACAACTTTACAACATTGATACAATTTTGATCCCCATTTTAAGGTTGGGAAACTGAGGCACAAAATTCATTAACACACCCAATGACACACACCTAACAAGTGGCAGAGCTTATATTCAAACTCAGACAGTCTGACTTCAGAGCCCATGCTCCTCATTTCTTCACTACATTAGTAGTAGTACAATGTTTGCCAAATGGAAGAATGAAAGACTGAATGAATGGATGTATGAAGAAAATGAGGGGGAAGACCAGAGGAGCTCTAATGTGCATTCTGGATCAAGGATTTTATGATTCTGTGATATAATCACCCATGACTTTGGGTTTTATTGAAGTTGGATTATAATGGATTTTATTCCAATTGATCAAAATTATCTATGATGCTAATTATGTTTTACTTTTTAACTATAGATAAAAAGACCTGTAATGACCCATCTCATTATTTATGTAATTATTTACTTATTATTTATTCATCAGATAGATATTAAGTCTCTACTATGTGCTAGATCTTGTGATTAAAGCACTTAAAACAACAACAGCAATATCCAAATTCTATGTATAGAATTTATAGACTTGGGGGTAGAGGGTAGAGTTGAAATCAACATAAATGATTACTGAAATAGTAATTAATTTCAATTGTAGTGGGTGCTAAGTTAGAAAAGTACAAGATTTCTTTTAAAGCTAACAAAGCGGGGATCCAACTTGTTTTGGATAATCAGGAAATGGTTTCCTGAAAAAGATATCAAGGTTCAAAGCTAAAGAATGAGCAGCAGATAACCAGGGAAGGGAGAGGGAGAGAAGAGTGTTCTAGGCAGAGGGCATATGAGCAGTCATGAGGCCTGATAGGGTATGGTGCATGGGTTCTTTCATTTCATTCAATGGATATTTATCAAGCTCCTTCTCTGTGCCATGCCCTGCTCTAGGTCATGGGAATATAGCAGTGGGCAAGACATTTTAGTTCATGTAAGAAGGAGAATGGTTCAAGATGAGACTGTATGGTAGAGCCAAGATTTTGCAGACCCTTGAAGGTCATGTTAGCATTTTAGGCTTTATTTTAAGGGGAATCTTTTGAGCCATGGGAAGCAGATGTTTCAAGGAGAGAAGTATAATATGCTTTATATTTTATTTTATTTTGGTGAGAACACTTAACATGAGATCTGCCCTCTTAACAAATATTTAAGTTTACAATACATATTAGCATTTCCATGTTCATTGCAGTGCTGTTCACAATAGCCAAGATGTGTAAACAACCTAAATATCTATGGACAGATAAATAGCAAAAGAAAATGTAATATATACATACAATGCAATACTATTCAACCTTAAAAAAGAAGGAAAATTTGCCCTATGTGACAACATGGATGAATGTTGAAGACATTGTGCTAAGTGAAATGTCAGTTACAGAAAGACAAATTCTGCATGATTCCACTTACATGAGGTATAATATGTTTGATTTTTTTCTTTTTTGCTGAGGAAGATTCACCCTGAGCTAATCTGCTACCAATTTTCCTCTTTTTGTGTGTGAGCTATGTCATGGCAACTGACAGACGAGTGGTGGGGGTCCATGCCCAGGAACTGAACCCCGGCCGCTGAAGTGGAGCATGCCGAACTTAACCACCAGGCTACGAGGGCTGGCCTTAATATGTCTTTGATGATGCTGTGAGATGAGGTAAGATGAGAACTGAATGGGGTCCATTGGATTCAGAAACCTGGAGGTCACTGTTGACCTTAATGAAAGCAGGCCTTGTATCGGTGGGGGTGGAAGGGTTATATGGGAGAAAACGAAATGCAGACAGTATTGTTTTGTTATTGATTAAAGTCGTTATTTGTAGCTGTTGCTCTTCCTCTGGTGGGGTCTGTATCTGGGCTCTTCACTTTACATCCTCCATTGTCAGGTCTTGCTCTAACTTCCCAGTTAACTAATGGATTTGCCTCATTGCTTATTGTATTCCACTGCGCACCTTTAATTCTGCTTTATAGAATGTTGGGCAAGAACTTAGACGCTTGAGTGAGAGTGGACTGGGTTTGAATCTTAACTCTGCAACTTGCTGGCTGATTGACCATGGGCCTTATATAGACATGATGAACTTCAGCTTCTTCAGAGATCAAATGGGGATATTAATGATATCTCCCTCATAGGACTTTTGCATCATTAGTCATGGAACTGTTTAAAGCAGTGCTGCCCTTGGACACATATATAATTTTAAAGTTTGTGGTAACCACATTAAAAAAAATACAAAGGAGCAAGTGAAATTAAATTTAACTTAATCCAATGTTTTGTTTATTTTATGTTATTTATTTATTTTGTTTAATCTATCCATAGACTAAATGTTTATATCCCCTCAAAATTCATATTGAAACCCTAACCCACAATGTGATAGGAGGGGTCTTAGTAGGTGATTAGGTCATGAGGGCAGAGCCTTCATGAGTGAGATTGGTACTCTTATAAAAGAAACCCCAGAGAGCTCTCTTGTCCCCTTCTTCCATGTGAGGACACAGGGAGAAGATGATGATCTGTGTACCAGGAAGTGAGCTTTCACCAGACATCAAATATATTGGCACCTGGAACTTAGACTTCCCAGCCTCCAGAATTCTGAATAATAGATTTCTGTTGCTTATAAGCCACCAAGTCTATGTAATTTGTTATAGCAGCCCAAGTAGACTAAGACAACCTAATATATCAGAAATCACCATTTCAATATGTAATCAATATAAAAATGTTAATAAGATATTTTACTTTCATACTACTACTCTGAGATCTGGTGTGTGTTTTACACTTACATCACATTTCAATTCAGACTAGACTCAATTCAGCACATTTCAAGTGCTCCATAGGCAGTAGCTACAGTATTGAACAATGCAGTTCTAGAGATGGACGAGAGTGTTCGGCCATTATAGGCTGAGGAGATGGAAAGCTCATCGCTGGTGCACTGAATTTCAGCCAAGAGGAAATCCACATCCTGAGATATCGATAAGTCTCTTGCATTATTCACAACTCTGATACATTCCTGGCCACTTCAGTTCTTGTTACAGTGTGCATTTATGCATATAATAAAATAACATAATTCATTCACTCATTTGCCAAATATTTACAGAAAATGTTCTATATTACTGGTGCTGTTCTAGTTTCTTGGAATACATCAGTGAACGAAAGAGAAATATTTTTGCCTTTATGTAGTTTACATCATAGCAGGAAAAGTCAGACACTAAGCACTAATAATAAGTAAGTTCATGACATGAATGTTGGAAGGTGATAGTGCTATGTGAAAAGGGAAAATTAGAGCAGCCAAAGGGGGTTGGGAGTGTTGGAGGGGAGGTGGTTTACAGATTTAAATAGGATGGTCAGGATAGGCCTCTGAGAAGGTAAATAAGTAGTTGATGAGGCCAGAGAAGTTCTGGGGCCAAGTAGACAATGCTATGCTAGGTGCTATTTGAGATCCAAAGCTGAACTAGACATAGCCACATTCTTCAAGGATCTTATTGGGGGAAATATGACAAGTATACAGATAATTATGACACAGTGCTAGATACAACGATTGTCATGAAAGAATTTTCAAAAGATACCACAGGAATTAAAAACAGAATTCTTAGAGGAGGCAGCATGTGATAGTAGAACATGAGCTTTGAAGTTGAATAGACCTAGACTTGATCCCAGCCATCAGCTTGCCAGCTGTCAGTAAGGCGAACAGTGGTCCTACATTGTCCAAGACTGTCCTAGTTTTAACACTGAAAGCTTTGCCTCCTGAAAAGCCACTCAGTCTCAGTCTTCACACTGAAATTCCCATGTCTCAAGAACTTTCTCAGTTCAGTTGTACGCTGAAAGTCCATTACTTTAATCCTTGGCAAACCAGGATGATTAGTCACTCTACAGCTGTGTGACTTGATCAAACTAGATGAAGACTATATCCCCATATGTAAATTGGGAATAAATCCAATCTTGTGGGTTTGATCTAAGGATTATATGTAAAATACTTGACACACTGGAGACAGTGAATGTATGGTATCTGTGATTTGATTGATGGGATCAAGGAAAGACTTCATGAAAGAGGTGGATTTTGAGATAGATTTTGAAAGATAAATGAAATTTCAGTTGATATAGGGCAAAATATGCTCAACTGGTCAAGATAGATAGAGATAGGAAGTAGGGCAAGAGGAAGAGGATAACCAAAAACAGGAAAAGCAGGAAATTGTGGAGCATCTTCAGGGAGTCAGTGAATATGATTCACAACAGGCCAAGCATAGGTATGATAAATCAAACAGTATAATAAAGAATCCGGGTTTAGAAAGGTTGATTTAGACCATCTTCCTGATACTGTGTTGTGCTTATTTTTAGTTTGAAAAGAGTGTTGAAGCATGAAAGTTTATCACTTCTTAGCCATTTAATTTTTGTCGATACTGTCTAATATTTGGCATTAGAGCTGAGTGATTGATTATATAAAAATCCAGATACTTTCACTGAAAATTATGAGCACCATTTTAAATTTTCACTGTAGGATAAATGATATTTAGATTGTGTGGAAAAAAATCAAACTTGATTTTAGGAAAATTAGGGTTCAGTTTCCTAGTACCATATTATACTAGTTGAGTAGCATAACAACTATGCTTTAATTTTCTTTCTTGCCCAAGTGTTAGAAATGCCCAGCACCTTGTAGAGAGAGTAGGGTGTAGAGGTTAAGAGTGAAGTCTATTGAACCAGCCTGCCTAGATTTGAGTACTGGCTCTCCCTTGTGGTGGACTCCTTGACGCCCTGCCGAGACCTTCACTTGTTGCTTTAGCTGCTGGGAGTGCTCTTGGCAGACAGCATTAAGCTGTCAGCCCCTCTGTATTGGCAAAGATTCAGAGAGACTTCTTGCTCAAGTTCACACTCTTCCCTTACTGGCCCACATCCATTTACTGATTAAGGCAGTGGTATAAAGGCCTGACCATTTTCACACAATGCAGGACCACTCTAATGGGTCATTTTTGCTCCAGCAACCCCTGTGGAGTCTGTGTTGGATTTGCATCACAGATGAACCTTTCCCTCTGCTCACTCTTGATGTCTTCCCTCTCTCCCACAGATATTGATCACAAGGTTACTCCTAATAAACATTCTACATAAGAAACATCATATCAGAGTCTGATTCCCAGAGACTGAAGTGTGTGACGACTGGTCTGTAGAATGGTCTGAGAAAGCAGCAGATGGGGTTTTGGAGTGGGATCACTTGAAGCCTGGCTGGCAATGTCAACTGCATCACTGGGAGTAAGTAGAGCACAGAGAATCCTGGGCATATGGCATTGGTCCAGCTTTTACTGGTAGTAACTTGGGTTGATAAATTGATGGAAGGGAGTGTACTAGCTGGATCTCTGTAGCAAGCATTAGAAAATTGTGGGGAAAAGTAATTTTTTTTTTCTGAAGAAGATTTGCCCTGAGCTAACATCTGTGCCAATCTTCCTCTATTTTATATGTGGTTTGCCTCCACAGCATAGCTGACGAGTGGTGCAGGTCAATACCTGGGATCCGAACCTGTGAACCCGGGCTGCTGAAGCAGAGCATGCGAACTTAACCACTAGGTCACAGGGCCAGCCCCAAAAAAGCAATTTTAAGGACAGTGAAATTGGATGGCGATGGCTAAGCTCACTTGACACTCTAGAAAAAGATAACAAAAAACTAAGACCAATTAATAGCTAGTTGAAAGCCAGTGTGCAAGCCAGTGGGCCTCCCTTGTAGCATACAAAGAGGCCTTTGTTTCCTACAGAGGAAAGTCAGAGGAAGCTGAATCAGGCATAGTACTTAATCATTACAGTAGCTGAACTTCAAAAGAGGTTAAAATCCTAGTCAAGACAAGTTTGCTGTGAAAGAGTAGGAACCTGACACATGCAGTGGAAACATCTGGCTTGTTGCCCCAGAAATCTTAAATCCCTATATTTCTCTGAACATTCTGAGCCTCACTGGCCAGCTCTCTCTATTAAGAGCTAGTACCCACTCTGTTTTGCTTGAACAGTGCAGGATCCTCTTCCTCTCAAAGCAACATGTAACCCCTCAGAGTCTGTCCTCTTATTCCCCCCACCACTAAAGATATAATTAATTAGAATTCCATGACAGCATAATCCAGCTGAGAAGTACTGAGCTTGAAAAGGGAGGAAAGAGAGTACATTCTCAAAGGAGCTGCATGACTAGCCAGCCTGTGTAGGCAGGAGCCAGGGGAGCACATGTGAGACTGGATTCTGGGAGTTCTTGATCAAAAGGACAGGCACATAAGAATGGAAAAATGAGAGTTTAATTTTGGGGAGTACTCTCTCAAGATGCAGAATTTATACCCTAGCCAGGACCCTCGGAGATAGTGAGGAATTGCTATTAGAGTGGCTTCCAGAAGCATGAGAAAAGCAATGGCTTATGCTAAGCGAGGTTGAAATGACAGATTTGCTGTGGTAGATGGTGGAATAAGGGATTTAAAAATTCAGAGGAGTAGGGGCTGGCCCCGTGGCCGAGTGGTTAAGTTCGCGCGCTCCGCTGCAGGCGGCCCAGTGTTTCGTTGGTTCGAATCCTGGGCGCAGACATGGCACTGCTCATCAAACCACGCTGAGGCAGCGTCCCACATGCCACAACTAGAAGGACCCACAACGAAGAAAATACAACTATGTAGCAGGGGGCTTTGGGGAAAAAAATAAAATCTTTAAAAAAAAAAAAAATTCAGAGGAGTGGACCTATGGAGTGGATAGACTATGTAAGGCTGGAAAACTCATCTGATGATTCAGTTTTATCATTTAAACCTATGATTTTATCATTATGATTAGGTTTTATTAGGGTTTTTTTCCAATTCTTTAATTATTTTATTCCCATAAGTTCTACTTGTTTCTTTTTCAGATATACAACTCATTTTTTATAGTTTCTGTTTCATATTTCAAATTCATCATTTATTTCTTTAAACGTAATAAGATGCTTGTTTTATACTTTGCATCCAGTAATTTCCAATATCTAAAGTCTTACTGAATTTTTTTCTCTCTCTTTCTGCTGGTTCTTACTTATAATGCCTTATTTCTTGTGGTGCTTCAAACTACCATAAACCATTCATTTTCCTTGGAAAACCATTTGTGAAAATTATTTGAAGCATAAAAGAAGATGGATTCCTCTGGGGAGGCAGGGACAGGATACACCATTTACTAAGGCTGTAAGGAATGCACTCATGGGAGGGGCACCAGCATCACTAAGAACTTGAAAGGACTTCTCCTCTGTAGGCCAGGGCTGATGATAGGAGATTACCATTGTAGAACTAGGCTCACTGACAGCAACGAATGTGATAGGAACCAAAGCAATTGAGGCTACTTAGCTTTAAAAAGCCAGATGAATGTAATTACATAAAGATCAGCAAGGTCAGAGGGGCAGCCAAGGGGATGTGATCCGCAGAGCATTATGAAGGTGTTAACTAGAACAAAGTGCTAGGGAAAATAGATCGGCAGTCAAGAAGAGTACTGCTCAACTTGTACCATCAGAAGAAATCAAGGACAGATGATCAGGGAGACAGTGCAGTTTTCCTCCCCAAAAAGTCAGTCATAATTACTGACCAAGTTTTTGGACCAGAGCCAGCATTTGGACCTGGAACTTAATGATTGAAGAAGATCCTGGGTCCGAAGGATGAAGGACCTCGTAATACCACAGCAAGCAGTGGCATTAATGACTCCCCAATCCTTCTCCAAAGAGATAAACAGCCATGTTCTAGGTTAACTGCACACAGTACAGTACATATTCTGAGGCTTGTTAGACATGAGGTCTGAGTTGACATTGCTACCCAGAGTCTCAAATCCCACCCCCACCTCAATCCCAGAATGGGTACATATGAGATCCAGGTAATAAATAGAGTCCTGGCTAAGGTCCAGCTCAAAGTGGGTCCTCTGAGATCCTCAAACCCACTTGGTTGTCATTTCCCTGATCACTGAAGGTATAAAATTTGAATAGACATATTTGATAGTTGGTGCAACCACTGTATTGAACCTTTAACGCCTGAGGTATAGCTCTCAGGGTGGGGAAGGCCAGGTGAAAAATTTTGAAATGCTCCCCTCTCTACTTGCAGCAAAGTTAATGAATCAAAAATAATAAAACATTCCAAGGTAAGGGGGATAGCAGAAATTAATGCCATCCTAAAGGATATAAATGATGCAGGGGTGATATTCCCAGTCCGATATCCCTTTAATTCCCAGTCTGGACCCTGAAGAAATTAGATGGATCCTGGAAGATGACACTACGCTCTCATAGTGTAACCATGTAGTAGTCCTAATTGTGGCCACCATACCATGTGTGATATCTTTGCTCAATAGATTACATGCCCTCAGGCACGTGGTAGTTGGCCATTGATTTGGCACATTACTTATTTTCTCTCTTTATCAGAAAAGAATCAGAAACAGTTTTTATTTATGGAAAGAAGAGTATGTATTTAACCGTTTTGCCTGACTCTCTGTCAATATAATCTGAAGATGTGTGAACCATTATATCAATAATGTCAAGTTACTTAAGCCAGGTAAGCAAGAAGTGTTTACCATATTGGACATCTAGGTAAGACTCATGTGTTTGAGAGGGTGGGAGACAAACTCTGTGAAGATTCAGGGGCTCACTACATCAGAGTCCAACTGTCAGAGGCATGCCAGGACATCCATCCACATTAAAGGACAAATTATTTCATCTTTTATCTCCCAACGCAAAGAAGAAATGACAATGCCTGGTAGAGACTTTTGGAAGAAACTTTTGAAGTCCCAGCTGAAGCAACAGTTTGGAGGTGATTTTTTTTTCCTGTGGAAGATTGACCCTGAGCTAACATCCATGCCAATCTTCCTCTATTTTGTATGTGGGTCACCACCACAGCATGGCTGCCATCGAGTGGTATGGTCTGTGCCCAAGAACCAAACCAGGTCACTGAACTGGAGCATGCTGAACTTAATCACTAGGCTACGGGGATGGCCCTGGAGGATGGGATGCTGTTCTCTAGAACTCACTACATACCCTCAATCAAGTATCTTTATATGGTACTATGTTTCCAGTTGGAAGAATACATAAGTCCAGGAACTAAGGCGCGGAAGGAGGAGTGACCATGCTTGTAATCACTCCCAGTGTTCCACTTGGGAAATTTATGCTCCCTTTCCTTACAACTCTGGGATCTGTTAGAGTTCTCATTGCCCAAAATGGGGGCACTGTCACCAGGGAACACAAAAAAATTCCCAGTGAACTACAAACTATGTCTAAGCCTGGGTAATTCAGGCTCATTGTTTATAGGGACCAGCAGACAAGAAGTGAAATCACCATCTTGGCAGGCATAATTGACCCTGAACATCAGAAAGACAAAGAGCTTCAGTTACAAAATGGGGAATGGGAAGTATATGTTTGGCACTGAGGTGTTACACTTGCATCCCTTTTGGTACTCTCATGTCCAATTGTGAGAGTTAATGAGCAATGCAGCAACCCCACCCTGAGAGGTGTATAATGACTAGGGGCTCAGACCTTTCAGGAATGATGTCTCATGCCAACAGTTAAGCCACTGAAACTGGAAGAAGTGCTAGCTAAGGGTGAGAGGAATCTGGAAAAGATAATAGACAAGGGAGACTATGAGTATTAACTTGCCATTCAAAGACAAGGTGTGGACTAACCTTCCTTTTCTAAGTTTTTCCCAGGAAGATAGGCTACTAGATTCTGAAGAGCTGTTCGCTGCATATATAGGAAGAGGATTCAAGCAGCACAAGGGATGGACTATTTTGGACACTGTGATGTGCCATCAAGATCTCTCTTTAAGGAAGGATCTGTTGCCCAGCTTCTGAAAGTGTTGTTGACCATCAAACTTTAGTTCTCAGCGCCTCCAGGAATAGCTTCAGCTTGAGTGAGCTGTCTCAACCATGCGCCCATCCTTCTGAGGGTGGGCCACTGACTGAGACTAGGGTACCAAGACCTGGCCATTTGGGATGAATGTGGGACAACTCTGATGGGCTGTTTTATCTCTGGAACTTCTCAAGGGATGGATTAAGCTGTTGTCAGGCCTGCGTCAGAGCTTGACTTTTCCCAATCCTTCTTCCTTCCTCTCTCTTCTACAAATATTGATCTTAACAGGACTCCATAATAAACATTCTTTACACTAAACTCCATCTCAAAGACGGCTTCCTGGAGAACCCAACTTAAATAATTTGGGGAACTTGAAAAAGTTAACTAATTTTCTGTACCTAGATTTCCTCATCAGATAATGATAAAACGTTTCTCATAGAGTTGTTACAAGGATTTATGCAGTAATCTTTAGACAGTATCTGGCACATAGTAAACACTCAATAAATGCTATCCATTATTATTAATTGACAAAAGGGTTATTTTAAGGACAAAGTAAGAACAAAGAGGTGAGACTACTCTAAAAATATTTAAAGATCAATGTTCATTTAAATGAAGTGTCGTTTCCTACATTAACATGTTTTTTCTGATATAAAAACTAGAAGTAATTCTGTGCCTTTAGAAATATTTTATTTGCATCTCTTGCCCCTACTCTTATGTTCCCCATGGTTACAGGTCCCTGAAATAACTGATTTCTTTCACACACTGAGCACTGTAAAGTGAATGGAATGTAAATAATATTTTAAATAATAACAATGGCAATATTAATAGCTACCATTTATTAAGCACTAACTGTGTGGCAGACACTGTGTTAATTGCTTGACTAATGTTTATTTAGTTCAACTTAATAAATATTTGTGGAACAGCCCCTGCATTACAGGTACATGGTGAACAACAGCATGACAGTCAGTAAGTCAGGCATGTTGCCTGTCCTTACAGCACTACTGCCCAGTCAGGAAGATAATCAGTTAAACATAAAATTACAGTATAGAATAAATGCTATATTATGGAAAGAAAAGGGTAGCATTGGGTGAAGAAGGACATAGAAGGGAGGTGGAAACTACTTAGTGGGTGGGGGAAAGTTTACCAGAAAAAGTAATATATAAACTGAGACCTGAAATATAAGCAGGAGTTGGCTAAGTTAATAGATTGAAACCTTCAGAGAATGCACAAAGAAGCAGAGGAACCAGAACAGTTTTCAAGAAGCCAGAAAGCAGTGTAGTTAGTGGGGAATGGTGATAAAGGAGTCCGGAGAAGAAAGAAGAGAACCAGTCAGTCATGAAGGACCTTGTACACCCATAAAGTGATACCCAGGAAGTACCCTCTACTTTTTCCTAGGGCAATGGAAAGCCATGGCCAGGTTTTTGGTAGAGAGAGAGGTGATTGATTGTATTTGCCTTTGAAAAGTTCCATTCTGGCTGCATTGTAGGTGATAGAGGAAGCAAAGACAGAGAGGGTGAGGAAGCTGTTAAAATCATCCTTGTGTTAGGTGTTAGTGGTTGGACTAGGGAGCTTTGGGGATAGCAAGAACTGTACAGGCTCAAACCTTGTGTGGAAAACAATAATAATAGTACTTGGGAGAGTGATGGGATGTGACACTGAGGGAAAGGAAAAATAGGAATGCTGCCCTCAGTTCTGTAGGTGTGTTGCCTTGCACAAAGGTGACTGCTCAGGAGATGAGTGGGTGCTCAAGGCTAATGTGAGCCTGGCTCACCTGATTGTTGCTCTGGCATGGCCTACATCTGCTGGGAGCAAGGAGGATCTTTCCAAAATCATGCAAAGGGTCATATGGGCTGTTGGTGGCCTTGGGGAATAGTCAACCATAATTCCAGAGTTTCTGGCTTGGACAAATGGATTAATGATAGCACTATTGGCTGAAACTGGGAACAGAGGTGGTGGTGGGGGTGAAGGTAGTGGATGCAATTTGTGCTTAATTTCTAATAAAAACCTTACAAAGTAATATTAAGCTTATTTTATAAAAGCAGAAATTGAGTCTTAGAAAGGGTAAGTGTTTTACCTGAGGACATATAGGTAGTAAATGGTAAAGCTGGGATTCAGATCTTGATACTACATTTTTTTCCACTCCCTATATATTCCCAAAAATAGCATTAACATATTCTGGGGACTACTCCATTATGAAAATATGATTTCATTTGGGAAACGTACATGAATAATTGTTAAATCATTTGTATATTTAAACTTTTCAATATTTAGAAACTTAATTTTAATAAATGTCTTTGCCTCTCAGCTTTCTTTCCACTGTTCCTCTCTTTACACTTGCTATTCTGTTGTCCTCCTCTCTTTTCTCTAAAGCCTTTTCTCTTCTCTGTCTTTTAAGATTCAGCTGCAGCCTCGCGTCCTCCAGGAAATGATCCTGAACATCCTGCTGGATATAAATATTTCTCTCCTGAGCTCCCTGGGCATCTTGTATATACCTCGTTCATGTGAATTATCACGACTGCCCTAATTGTTGGTGTACTTTTAGTTTTATATTCCTGGTACCTGGAAATAGTTGCTATTCTGTAAATAATGTTTGGTGATGATTGTATGAGTGAACCACTGCTCAAGGCCCACCTTTCCTGATAAGCCTTCACTGATTTATTTAGTCTATTCTCTAGTCCTGTGACTCCCAGACATGGCTGAACATAAAAGCTTTTAAAAAATACAGATTTCCACACCCTACCCCAGACCTACTGAATCTGGGACAAGGCAAAGGCATCTGGACTTTTAAAATGTTTCCCACATGATTCTACGCTCAGCCCAGACTTGGTATTAAGAACCCCTGCTCTAATCTGCCAACACAGTCTAACACAACCCTTCTACCAATGTGTGCTTATAGTTATTATACTTTATATTGTATTTATGTAATATACTTGTTATATTTTCATTAAAGAATTTTAAGATAATTATTGGTTTCTAAACTTTTTGATGATGCCAGACACCCAGCAGGGTGATTATTGCATGTTTCTCCCTAGTGGCTAGAGAGTATTTTTCTATCTCACATCTTGAATTTATTAATTTACTTGGAGTCCTTTCGTTTTAAGACTGCTGCATCTCACACTTTGGATACTATAAGAAATCTATATAAACACACACATGAAGAAGCTATTTTTCTACTTGTTGGTACAACATATATTTTCATATGTTCATATTACTATTTTAGAAAATACGAAAAACACTTTTATCTTGCCATTTGTTATGTACCTTATAAATCTGGCCAACACAGAATCCTTCTGGGCTGAGGCCAACGAACTGTTTCACTTCTGCCTTGTTTGTGTTATTAACAACACAGCTAATGTCAACATGGCTTTCTTTGCTCTTGTTCTAAAAAAGCTAACCAGAATCCGTGTAGATAGCTTATAAATCATCTATACTTTCTTATGCACCATTAAGAAAGTGTTGACATTTTTAAAAGGAAGGTGTTTTTCAGAGTACAGTATCTCTAACATTGAGCACTCAAATCATATTTAAGTTGACGTACATTTTCTAAAATGCTATGTGCCAGATTGCTGTTTCTTTTTCAACAAATATAGTTGAGTTGAATGAGAAACTCGGCTTGACTTAACCTCATAAACTTCAGTGTCTTGAGATTTTGCCATTGAAGTATATTATCATTTGTAGAGCATGTTTTGTGCTTTTGTTTCCATTTCCTATGTTAGTAATCTAGAAAACTTCGCATTTCTTGATGCAATAAATGATTCTGTCAATAATGTAATCATAGTTTTCTGATGATTCCTCAACACCTCTGCAGCTGATGTGACGTCATTCCAGATGATCTTACTGAGTCTTTTATACTCTCACAGTACTTTCAGATCAAAGATTTATAACTTGTTCTTCCGACTACATGTGTGCTGCTTTCTAGTGCTGAGATCTCTGAAGCTATTCATGTTAATTTCAACAGCCCAAGATTTTGCTATGCTTTCTTTGTGGAGGAACATCTCTCAAGTGTGACATTTTCCAAATAACCTTACAGGAGCCCTGTAAAATGTAAGCACATTTCTGGAACAAGTTACTCCTTTCTTATCCATTTTTTCTAGATGATATTTCCTGGATGTGATGAGTCTCTGAAACTGTCTCTGCTGCACTGTTCTGTCACTTCACGATCTTGTCATCTAAGTGCCTATATCATAGCATTGGTGTCCCTGTCTCCATTCTTCCCAATTCTACTCCATCCTCTATACAACTGCCATGATAAGTTTTTCAAACATTATGTTTATGTCATTCTCTTGATAACTCTACTATAGCAATGCCTTCTTTTATATTAAATCAAACCTGAATTGCTCAGTCTACACTTCAGAGCCCTCTACAATAGGTCACTTCAAGACCATTCTACTTCATCATTTGTTGTCTCCAGTAAGCTCGTTTCCTTGCCAATCCATTTTTCTTTAAATTTTTGAACTTGGTCCTACTTTTCGTACCTTCAGTGATGTTCACTGCATTTCATTTTAATCACCTCCTTATTCTGTGCTCCCTTATATTTAGCAGTTCCTAAAGGAGAGTTGAGTTTCTGAAAATACTTTTGGGGCTCTGAAATTAGCAAGGCATATCACAGTTTGAATTCACTAGAGGGAGCTCAATATTTAAAATAACCCTCTTAGAAATTATTCTACTTAGGAAATTAACAGGGTTCTTTTAAAGATGAAAAATCATCTAGCTTTTTTTCTTTCTGTTAATTTGGAGCTTTGGTTTCTGAAATTTTCCTATAAAGAAAGTGTATAGAATAAGAGAAGTTTAGTTTTAGGAGATCATTTAGTCTTAAGCACTAATTTTAAAGAAATGAAATTCTAGCATTGTAGTTTATATTATGTTATGCTACTTATATGTTGCCTTGTAATTGATTTCTTAATATTGTATACCTTGTTTCCCTACTTGCTCCTCCTGTATTTTCTTTCATAGTTAATGGCAGTATCATCCATTCAGTGGTCCAAGCCAGGAACTTAGAAGTCATCAAGATCGACCCTCTTGCTCAACTCAACACTAGAATGTCTTCCACTAGACTATAACTTCCTGAGGGCAAGGATAGTGCTTGCTTACCATCTTATCTCTCCTACCTAGTACAGTACCTGGAATGTAGGAGACAGTCAATAAATACTTGAATTAATGAATAAGAATGACTCTTCTCTCCCAACTATATCTAAACCATTATCAACTCCTTTTGATTTTACCTCCTAAGCAGTTATTTAATCTGTTCTCTCTTCTCACCCCTGTTCTATTCAGGCCCTTCTCATCTCTTATCTAGACTTTTGAAATGATATCCGTATCCAATCTTTTCTCCCCCCCCCCCACACCTTTACCATTTCCCTAAATGATTCATCTTGAATTAAAATATGTCAATGCCACTACTTGCTAAATCCCTTCAATGGCTTTATATCTCCCACAGCATGATCTTTAAGTCCGAAACACTGGGACAAGGCCTTCTGTAGCCAGGCCTCCTCCTAACCTTCCAGCTTCAGCTGATGTCACTCTCTCACTCTTTTTTCAAATAATACCAAATTGGTTTTAAGTCCTCATATACACCATGAATTATGTTTACATAGCAGATGAGCTCTTTATCTAGCCTGGAGAAAGGATCAGAGATGGATTCCTGCAGAGAAAGACACATTGGAAAGGTCTTGAAAGATTGGTAAGAGTTAGTGGGAAAGAAGGCAGAGCCTTAGAGAAAAAGTGTCCCTTTTTGATTCTTAGTTATAATTTTACAAATCTAGAAAATTTATCTACTGAAGTATAAGCCAGATGCTTCGTGAAATCTCCTTATAGTTAGGTCATTGTGGCTGGCTGCATAAGTCTTCATTCATTTACTCATCCAACAATTATTCATTAAGTTTTTTTATGTGCCAAGCACTGTTACACACACTAAAAGTGGTGAGCAAATAGGCGTGCACCCTGATCTTATGGAATAGAGACACAGTTGTGCCTCAGTTACCCTTCAAAGCCTAAGACCTGAAGGCTTAATTGGACTCCAAGAGAGGAAACCAGAAGTTCCAAAGATGTATTTTTAGCCTTATCTAGGTGAATATTGTGCTCATTCAATAAGAAAGGGATAACAATTCACCTCCTTGGTGGAAATGGTAAGAATAATACTTTTAACTCTTTGCCAATGATACCATCACATAGATGAATCACAAGAGATCAGATTGTTTGGAATTAGCCTAATGCATAATAGACAGTTTTGCCTTCAAGCTTGGAATCAGTCTAAGAAAAATCTTAAAAGCTTTTAAAATTCATGTCAATATCATCACAGGAGTTCTTTAGATGGGATTGATGTTTACTATGCCCTTAAAGCAATAATACAGCACTGTAAGAGGCTTAACACATCCTTAACAACCTCTCTTACCACCTGAGAAGCTCTGCTGGATACATGTGATCAATGTGATTCAGTTTCACTGATGAAAGTTTCTTTAAGGTGGATTGAGACACAAAAACTAGCCCTGAAAATCCCTGGTTTTGATTTATCAGGAAGTTTTTGGATAGTCTTAGAAGTCATCCATGTAAACAATACAGATAAAGTTTAAAGCTCTCCTATGTGGCTAAAGCCATTCAATATACATTTTAAATTTCTGGCTAATTTATGAATACCAAGGACATATCCAAACAACATATTTGCTGCTCTTCTGGAAGTATTTTATTTAAGATCCTATATGATCAATATAGCCAGTCCTACTGGTCTAGTGGTTAAGATTTGGCAAACTCACCACTGCAGCCCAGGTTCATTTCCTGGTCATGGGACCACACCACCCATCTGCTGATTGTCATACTGTGGTGACTGTGTGTTGCTGTGATGCTGAAAGCTATGCCACTGGTGTTTCAAATACCAGCAGGGTCACCCATGGTGGAGAGGTTTCAGCAAAACTTCCAGACTAAGACAGACTAGGAAGAAGGACCTAGCCACCTACTTCCAAAATCAGTGGCTGTGAAAACGATATGAATAGCACTGGAGAATTGTCTGGTATTGCGCTAGAAAGATGAGAGGATGGCGCAAAAGACTGGGCAGGGTTCCGCTCTGCTGAGCGCAGGGTCTCTAGGAGTTGGAATCAACTCAATGGCACTAACAACAATTGATCAGTTTGCTCTATTGTTTCAATCCCATATTTGCAATACCAAAAATAATTCTTTACTGAAATCTTTCAGTATTTCAAGTCCTATTCAAGACTTGCTGAATTACAATTTTATTTCATTATTTTTATGCATTGAATTTATTCATCTGGGCAATATGCTAAATCTTTTAACAATTTGTCTCCATTTTCTTCATGGGGAAATTAAGCATATATAGTCACATCACTACATAGCAAATAAAAAGTATGGGTGATCTGTATTTTGTTAGGGAGAAACCAGCGGTAGAAGGGAGATGTTAACATGGGTAAGAAAGATGGAATAGAACCTATACATGTTCTCAGATAGACATCAAAGGCCAAACATGGACAGAGAGACAGGGTAATTGTTTATTGGATGTCAGAGAAACAAAAGAGGTCTAGAAACTAGAGAATCAAATCCAGAGCCGGGTGTGTAACCATGGTTACTAAGGTTACTGAATATTACCTTAACCAAGAAAAAGGAAGGCATCAAGAATCCAGTCACAACCAGGATTATTTGGTATAAAAAACCAGTAAAGAAAAACAAATTATTGCGCCTGGTTATAAAGTAATAGAATTGTGGCTTGAAAAATGAGAGAAACTAAAATTACAGAAAAATCAATATTCTATCCTTAGCACCACTACTGCTACCATCACCACTACTTCGTTCCTTTTTGGGATGTACGTTTATTAGAATATACACATTGCAATGCCTAGATTTTGATGAAGGTGTTCAGTTTACATGCTTTATATGTCAAAAGCACTCATCAGGCCGGGTACCTGCCACTGTGGACTAACAAAGCCATCTCAGTATTTTCTGAATTCAAAATCCTTTG